AGCTCTTTGAGTCTACTTTCTAATGGATTAAACAAAATGAAAATCCAAATTTTCTAAGAAAAGATTTTGAATTTTTACTAGACACACTGCAGTTGTCTAGAAAACTGCACAAGGGATAGATTTAAAAATTCACTATAATTCATACACAGTGAATTAGGTGATAAACTTTATATGGATCGAAAGTCCTTTAAGTCTAGTTTCTAAATCTTCAAACGATTTGTGATTTGAATTTGTATAACTTAAGTTATGATCAAATTAGTGAGTAGAGTACAGAATGGAAAACAACCACCAGCTTGGACAGGATCGATCCCCTCTAGAAGGGATTGATTGCTTCCTCAAACAGAATGCCCCCCAAGCTGAAAATCCAGAAAAGGGATCGATCCCCCCACATAGGGGATCGATCATCCAGGCAAATGATCGATCCCCCTCAAGGAAGGGATCGATCGGGTAAGGCTTTTCAAGCATAAAATCGTGCTTGAACCAACATGAACCAATCGATCCTCTCAAGAAGGGATCGATCGGTTTGGGTGTGAAGACTTCCAACGGCTACTTTTCCAATAGGCATTTCTTCACTCCAAGTTTCTCTAATGGATAGTTTCTCAATTTCTCTATAAATTTGATACTTAAACACACCAAAATGAAAGAAAAAACAAGAGGAATCAAGAGAGCAAGAGCTAACAAGCAATATTTTCTTTTTCTCAAATAATCAAGAGTTCTTAGAGCTTCAAAGTTTATATCCTTGCATTCATTGTATCCAAATTATCTTTTTGTTATTCATTCGTCTTTGTCTTGTCTATACCTTTATGTACTTCAAATTAGCAAACATCCAACCTTTGAGATGTTCTTAGAGTTTGTCAAACATTTGAAATTTTGTATTGTGTGATTGTAAGATTAAGGGGGAGGATAACCCTTAAGAGTGCATTGTGTTGAGTTTGTAAAGCTTGGAGAAGCTTGTTTGTAATCTTAAACATATAGTGGATTTGAGCCTTGATGTGGACAATCAAGAGAGAGGACGTAGATGCCTTGTGGAGAAAGACCGAACCTCTATAAATCATTGTGTTTAATTTTTCTATCCTTATTTTCTTATAATTTATTGTTGTCCATATTTGATTTTAAGTTCATTGATTGTTATTGCCTTTATTATATTTTCATTAAAAGAGTTTATTGTCTTAATTTTCATTCAACTACATTGAAATCATTATTTGAAAAGAATTTGGAGAGATCTAATTCACCTCTCCTTTTGGATCACCATCAGCCTATAAAATTAACAAAAATAATCCAAAATTATTTTTACTAAAAACAAAAAATGATTTAAACAATGTAAAACAAGAACAAAAAATAAAAATAATTGATACTTTGAAATTTTTTTAAAAATATAAATTTAAAAAAGTTAAATTTTCTTTAATACAAACAAGATATTAATATTTAGATTTCACTGGTGAATCGTGATAATCTAAATTTTTTATAATAAAAATAATTAAAAAATAAATAACAAATAAAAAAATTTAAAATAATCATAATAAAGATTAATTAATTCCTTTAACTATAAAAAATGATTTTTATTTAGAATCTTATTAAAAAGTTGAGATGATTTTAAAACTTTTTTAAAATTTTTAAAATTTCATTAAAAAATCGAGATAATTTTAAAATTTATTTAATAAAATTTAAAAACTCACCAAGGAGTCGAGATGTTCTTAAAATCTTTTTTAAAATAAATAAATAAAATATCTTATAACTAGATTTTGAGAGTTTTGTGCATGGTATATTTTCTCGAAATATTTTTTAAATAATAATTTTTTATAAATTTCGTCAAAGCGTTGGAGAATTTATAAAATACGAAATAATAATGATAATACTAATTTCACAATAAAGAAATATTTTTAAAATAAATTTTAAGAAATTAAATTTAAATATAAGAATACCGTATCATCAAAATTAAAGAATTATATATGTTTAATTAGTACTGTTCTTTAAATGGGTGATGTAAGAGTGTTAATACATTTTTCACTTGTACTTGTACTTTCGGATCTAATCTTAATTTCGCATACCTAAACTTATTTTAGTAAATCTTAATTAATTTTAAGATTTTTATTAAAAGATGATATTTTGGGTAGCCAATCACATCCTACAAAAAGATTGGTGATGACTCTAAAAATTTCACCAAGCGATCAAGTTCTCCCAAACAAAAAATCGTTATGACATTAAATTTTGAATTTAAATTCATATTTACTACTAATTAATTATAAATCAAATCAAAATTAAATGAATCTAATTATTTACGATTTATAAATCTATAATATTCATGAATTTAATTAATTATAAATAAATATATTTAATGTTTAATATAATTTAATAATAACGTATTTATTAAATAATATAAACACACATAAATCAAACTAATGCATTAAATCCACAATAACGAGTAGAATATATTCTAGTATATCTTCATATCTTAATTAATGTACATTGAATAAGTCCGTATATATAGTTTATAACTGGATTACGAATTAAAAAATTAGTATATATTATTTTAATATAAAAAATTTTACAAAAAATCTCGTTGTTGACTCACATTAATTTTACTGCTGAATTTATGAACTTTTTTTGTTTTTTTCTATGTAATACCTTATCAAGGAATTGACTGCCCTCTAATGGGCCCTTGCATGCTGTTAAACAAATTTCTCAATATTAATTGATTAAGAAACTAGTACATTTTCTCTAATCTAGGAATAATTATTATTATATAAATGATAGAGTCAGTGAATATGACGTCAGTGCTTATGAAGAAAAAGAAGAAGAAACCCGTTCTATGAAGGATATAAATATAATATAAATATATGTAATACGTACAGTCCATCATCCCTGATTTGGCCAAAATTACTAATTAAATTCATACTATTTGGTTACTTAATTAACCCTGATCATACATTAATTATCCCATCGAAAAACTAAACAATGGCAAACTTGACCATATGAATTAATTAATTATATCTATAATTATTTTGCTTAATTAGTTTCTCCAAATACATTAAACAGTCAGGACAAAATAGCAATGAAACGATTCATCGATCAATCAAAGAAGGTGATTTAAATATTTAGTTTCTAAATCAAAGATTACTTGTATAATTTTTTTTAAAAAAAAAAAAGATCAATTGGGATCTTTGGGTTTCTAGCTTTAGGCTACTGCTGCCAGCGGCATAAAGTAATTAAATCGTATTAGTTTTATTTTGATGTTCAAGATTAATTAATTAAAAATTCAAGTTTCTTTATGTATTAAGCAGCTTGGAATATATACTATCAGATTCAGACTTCTATATATAGTATGATTTTAAACAATCGATTGGGTTTTAAGATGGTCATGCCGTGTAATTTTCATCTCAAATTCATGATTCTTCAATTTGAATTTCTAGTATATTTTTCACAAAGTTTGAATCATATTTTTTAATCATGTTTAAAATTATCCCTCATTTAATTAAAAATTTTCTTATTATCTCATAGAGATGTGATGTTACCATCAATCTATTAGTCGGTAAACTAAAATATATAGCACAATTCATAACATAGATTAAGCAAACTATAAGAAAAAAAAAAAAAAGAGTTTCATCAAATATTGATGATGATTGTTAGTAAACTAAGAAGTCATCAACCCTAATTTATCTTCTGTATTTTCCTCTTAAATTTGCATAAATTTATTTTTTTCATACAAAAAAATCATAGTTTAAAATAAGAGAATAAGTTATAAATGATGAAATTTTAATCTCAAATTTATTGGATGTAACTTTTTAAACATAATTAAATGAGCTAATTTATAAACCAAAAATTGAAATTTACATAAAGTTATTGGCATGAAATTATATAATGGCCGATCAAACTCGTCAAGCCCATTATTAAATACATGCATCTGATTGTCATTAAAAAAGTGTTAAAACGAAAAAAAAAATTTATTGAGAAATAGTTTAAAAATAAACAAATGTATAAAGGAAAAGGTTAAGATAACTTGGGATAGAATCAGAAAGCAAAAACCATTGAAGAAAATTGGAGGTAAATTAAGGGCTCAATATGTAAAGAAATGCGGAAGCATGAGACAAGATACATAAAGGTATTCGAATTGTTTATTTGGTTCAAAGGTACTACAATAACAAAAGGACAAGAAGTCGTCTTTACGTGTAATAGAATGTTAGGTTAGTGAGTAGAGATTAGTCTAAACAAGAGGCGGCTGGTCCACCTGCCCTAGGTAACGCCTCCTCCAAATATTTGCTTCAGTTTCTTCTCCTGGCTGCCTATCGCTCTCAATCACTCACTTTGGAAAGGGTAAATTGTAAAGTATTAAAAAAGACTCCAAATTATCTTAATTTTTCAAAAGAGTCTTTTTATTTTTTACTACATTGACATAATTTTTTGTTCTATGAAACTTTTAACATAAATAAATCAATTTAAGTTAAAAGAAAGATGTATCATCTGACAACTATTGAACATACATGATCTTAATAATTGTTAAGAATGACTATATTTCGGAAAGAATTATTTTCAATTCAATCAATTTCATCACATCAAAAAATTAAGCCACATCAATCCATGTATGTAAAAATTGCTAGTGAACTATGATTCTAATAATCGTTAAGGTTACATGATCAACATGATATCTTCCTGTCAACATAAAGATATAATTTAATAATATTAGATAAGGGTTTATTTGAATAAAGAAAAAATTACTTTTTTTTTGGCAAAAAATGAAAAATTTGGAGGACTCATTTAGTATATTTTAACCTCTCTAATTACGTTTTTTTTTTTTTTTTTAATTTCTTTTGTTTTGCATGTTTACCATTTTCAAACCTTCTTTTCCTTTCTGAAGTAACACTTCTCTTCCTTTCTAAAGTGACACTATTGAACACACGAATGGGCCCGACTAAATAAATAAAAGAAAATTATGAAAAAAAAATTTGGTCGAAATTCAGGCAATTGACCGGGCTGCCTATATGTAATTTGTAAGCATTAGCCGCCTGCTAAAAAAAGAACGTTTGAATTTCTGCTTATCAGACCCCAGAGGATTCATCCCACCGTTGTTTGCTTTGTCTTTTTTTTTCTCCTTCAATTATTTTCTTGTCCCTATCCGTGCAACCTTTGCCCATTTTCTTTTTTATTTTCTATATATATCAGTGTCCCACATTCTAAAATTTCAGCAATCTCCTTCAGCTTTATTCAAAAAGCTTTGCGCGTACGGAACCATAGAGGCTGTCGCTATGGAAGCTTATTCATCATCTTCATCAAAGGTTCAACAGCCTTTTCATGCATCACTTCATTCAGTTCGTAAACCATTGGCAAAGCCCTGTAAGAAGCCAATTGCTCCATTTCCACCAAAACCACCTAAAGTTTACAAGGTCGACCCTATAAACTTCCGGTACTTGGTTCAAAAGCTTACTGGTGCACCTGAGTTCATGTCTCAATCTCATCATCAGAAGTTGTCGACGACGTCTCAGCTTCAGCTGCAGCCTCGTCACCATCTCCGAAGAGTGGCACCTCGCCCTCTTAATGTTGTTGCAGCATCGCCATTGTCTGGGGCAGAAGTTTCTGCACCATTTGATCTCATTTCTGGATTAGATCATACTAAATCCCAGAACCAGCAATTCTCAGATAATGCAATGATTACATCGAATTCACTTGGATTCAACTTGTCACCATCCTCTTATAATTGGTGCGCTTTCCCTATTCTCAGTCCTGGAACTTTATCCAGCTTGGAGCAAAGCACTGTTCCTTAGATATATATGTCAAGTATATCAAAACCTACTATATATCCTGATAGTTAAGGCCAATTTGGAAGTTACTTCTCGTTTTTCATTCTTGCTTGAGCTTAACGAGAATGTATCTACGATTAAATCTACATTCTTTTGTTTGAAGTACTTAAGTTACATACTGGAAGAACTAATGATGTTTGAAGAAGTCTTCATCTGTTGATCATTCAAATGTAAATTAGTTCAGCCACTACTGTCATGAATAAAGCCATCGATTTATGCACAACTTTATTTTTCAGATATTGGCTTCAAAAAGTTCTTTGCTTAGTGTCCCAAGATAGTTCCCCTTTCTAACCTTTTCTTTTCCCTCTTTCTATTCTTTAACTTCTATTGCTTTTTTCTAGTTTTTTTTTTTTTTTTTTTTGAAGATGGATTTAATTTTGCTGGCTAGGGTGTCCCTCTAAAAAGAGGTAAGGTAGCATTACCACTGAGTAATTAAACTGTGATAAAGCATATTACGACATATATAAAACAAGGCTGGAGGTATTCCCAATTGGGAAATATACATAGGAAGAAGAATGGAAAATAGGGGGAAATTTGTTAGAGATGGAGGAAGCTTTAATTATCCCCTGCAAAAATGTCCCTCTAAATTAATCATGGAGCTGTATGGTCTAGTGTATTTATCAGGTATATGTATTGGTGTATTGATAATGTAGCTAATGAGTTCATAAATCATATAAGATGGTATATATCTCTCTATGCAATATAAAGAGGCATCTGATGTTATTAGGTAAGATGATGAATTGTTGTATACTCAAAGGTATATAGTATGAAACTAAAAAAACAATGAGGTGGTGTCATAAAGGATTCATGCATGGTGGTGCTCAAGCATTAACCCAAAATGAAATTACGGGGAATCAACCTATAGATGGAAAGAAACTAAAACTCTAAACAATGCTCCAAAACATGGAATTAACTCAATAACCTTACCACTTGCATGGAGTTAATTAAATCCATATATTTAATTTAATTAATATATGCCTATAATCATAATGAGAAACCAATTAGGATAATGGTAAAGGAATAAGTTTATCCAAAAATTTTATAAAATGCCAGTAAATTAGCCTGAAATGATATACCAAAACACACACTACAAATACATAGCATGACCAAAACAAAAACTTTATACGGTGCTGACTACTTTGGTACTGCGTACAAGAGTGAGTAGCAATATTTTAAAGCAATGGTAACGAAAAGGTGTGCTATAGGCCTTATGTTGCTGTAGACCAGGTGACTTGGTCTCATTGTGGAAGGAAAAATTGCATGTTTCACAGTCTCATTCTTCTGCCCACAAGAAAGAATTTTCTATTCGAACAAATTGAGGAAACCCTTTTATGTTTTTAGTTGAGAAAGAGAGAAAGAATGTTGATTCTTGTCACGTTCCTTGAAATAGTTGTGGGAAAGATTGAAAGAGAAAAGACCGCCATTTTTTTTTATAATTCCAAGATGATTGGTCCCCAAATGACAACAAATAAACAGTAGATATATTTCATATAGTAATCAAAAAGATTGGTTTTCTGTTGTACTAAATTATCCAATTTTCGGATGAAGACCGAGCAATTCAGCACCTTTTTTTTTCTTCAGTCGTCAAGGTTGTTTGATTAAAATATAAAAAGAAAAAGATTTTGGGTTTGATTTGCTCCTATTCTATTCCCAGCATTCAATAGGCATTGCCTCTGCCGACATCTTAGTATAATAAAAAAATTATAATATGTTTTGGAGAACAATTGTTGAGGATAACACTACAAGAAAATGACGTATTAACGGTAGTTTTGTAGTGGTATTTCACTTACAAACGTTGTTAGTTTTTGTGTTTTTATAAAACTTAAGGCGTTTATTATCAAAACACCATTAAATATTCAAATAGCGACGTTGTTACTTATAAATGTCACTCAAGACTTGATATCAGTGTTGTTTCTGGACTAAAACGCCTTGAATAATCGTGCCTTAAAAATTTTAGTGAATACTAACGACGTTTTTGGCAGAAAATGTCTTGAATAATTCAGTCAAAAAAATTGATAAAGAATTATTGAAGGCACATTTTTGACAGACAATGCTTTCAATAATCACCTCATAAAAAATTGTATGAGATTATTGAAGGCGTTTTCTACAAGAAACGCCTTTAATAATTGGACCAAACAATTCCACAAGCTTATTGAAGTCGTTTTTGTTCAAAAACGCCTTCAATAAATATCATATTATAATTTTTGGATCGTATGGATATTAACCATAAGGTGATAGGTTCGATTTCTCCATTTAGCCTTTTTTGAGTTTTTACAGAGATTATTTGTAATTGATTATTGTAGCGTTTTCTTAACAAAAATATCTTCACCAATTACCGTAAAAAATTTTGCAGAGAATATTGAAGGCACTTTTTGCATAGAAACGCTCTTAATAATTCATAAAAAAAATATGGAGCAAATTCTTGAAGGCGCTTTTGGTCCGAACTCACATTCTATAATCTAATCGATAAATTTTTGTTGTAATTATTAAAGGGGTTTTTGTTAAAAACGCCTTCAATAATCCATAGACAAAAGTTTGAACGGATGCTTGAAGGCGTTTTTGGCTCAAAACGCCTTTAATATTTCAAATGATAAATTTGAATTGTCAGATTATTGAAAGTGGTTATTTTCAAAAATGCCTTCAATAACATTTTGTTAGGGATTACTCAAGGCATTACCTGTAAGAAAACACCCTTCATAATCCATTCGATTAATTTTTAGTTGGTATTATTGAAGGCGTTTTTTTAAAACGCCTTTAATAATCCATACAAAAAAGTTGAAATAGATTCTTGAAGGCGTTTTTTTACCCAAAACACCTTTAATATTCCATATAATAAATTTTTGGAAAGATTATTGAAGGCGATTTTGATAAAAAATACCTTCAAAATTTTTTATTAGGGATGATTCAAGGCGTTTTCTTGCTAAAAATACCTTTATTAATCCTATCAAAAAAACATATTTGATATTGTATATGTCAGGTCAGTTGTAGGTTTATGCCCAGAAAATGTTTGCTGTCAGTTGTATATTTATGCCCAGAAAATATTTGGTTTATATATATGATACTACGAATTACATTTTAGAATTTACATAATGAGCATTGTTGTATTTCAATAAATTGACCACACATCCAAAATTAAAACTGATAAGCTCCTATATTGATATACTTTTTTGAAATAATTGTACTCAATAATTTATTAAGTACACATAGTGTATTCATATTAAGTATAACAATAATATTAAACCAATACCCCAATGTACAAGCTTAAAGTTTTCATTCAACATGGCATGTTAAAAATATTATAACAATTTATTCCTTATATATTTACATTCAACCAACAATGTTTAACATGAAGGTTTATCAATAATGATAAATGATAATACATAATCACACAATTATTTACGGACTTTATCCAGTTCTTCTTCCGTGAAGCTTTCTTTACTCTCTCAATAAAAAAAATCAGAAGTAAATGTTAAGAAATGAGAACATAATGTACCTTTTTATTTTTTTTTGAAGATATAATGAGTTTATAAAATTTATACTAACCTTGAATAGTGTGGTCATAAAATCATGTAACACTATCTCCCGCATAAAACAAAGGACATAATAATCATATTCAGTATTACGGGATTGACGAGGTACCTGAAAATTAAATTGAGTGGATTTAAAAAATATTTATCTACACAAACTTACCATAAAAGAATACATTTCACATTTTTCGATGATGACACCCATTTCAATTTCTTTATCTTTTTATCGAATGCAGATATTACCCTAAATTGAAAAGGAAAAAATTACTTAATACATAAATTAAATTACTTATAAAGAAACAAAAGATATATAATATAATAAAGTGTAATACTTTTTTATAAAAGTTTGAATATCCGGGTTAGGTATCGTCGTTAGACTAACTGAATTAAGTAAGTATGGCGTTAAGGATTTGGTGTCAATCACAATAAGCACCCAATGACAACTGCAAAATAATAATAATGATATACTCAGATTATGCATCAAATCAGATTTGGGTAAGGTTGGAATATAACTTACTACGCATTATACGGGAGCAAATAATAATTAGTCAGTCTTTTTATACATTAGATCACATGATTAGTATGATAAACGACTATGCCACTCTGCTCACTAATGAAGTTGAAGTCAATGAATTTAAATCTATTAGTCAACTATCTCCCTTTGAGCTCTCTATATAGAAAGCTGTACGATAACAATCAGCACTGCTAGTTAGTATTACACCCTAATATAGATTGCTGCATATTGAATGTGCATATTTGTATTTATAAGCTAACCTCATATAAGCAATGATATCATCAGCTGATAATTCATCCAGTTCACAAAATTCTTTAACCTCTTCCACACCAATGAAAGAAAATGATAGTTTATCAAATAACCCTTCCTCAGACTCAATGATTGTGAAGTTTCTCCAGATAAATGCTCTAGTGAATATTTGGATAACTCATCCATGGAAGCCTAAGCAAGTCCATGGAAGCCTAAGCAAGGGTCATAATGTGAGTCCGAACATCTTGCTATAATATTTAATGAAATATAAGTATTAAAATCAAATCAATCAATAGAATAAACAAATTAATATTAAAATTATAAATAATATCATACTTTTTGGGTGGTAGTGGAGGATGGGTTCGCTTCTTTACTTGTAACGGAAGCTTCTCCTATTGGGACGATGCTATTAGACTGGCCTACTAGCATGTTATACTATATTGTTGCCAACATAGACTCCAAAGCAACGAGTCTTTGCTATTGCTCATTGAGACATTGCTTCTGGTCATCAATTCATTATTGTTGTTGCTCAATGATTGCTTCATATTGTGCATTTCTCATTCGCGAGATTTTTTATTGATTACCAAAAAACTTTGATAGCAAGATAAATTTACCAACCTCACTAACTCGACCAGACCTTTCTTTAGTGCCTAATGCTAAAGACAAAGGATCTTTACCATACTGGGTTACTAATTCACTAGATTTGACTTTGGCAGCATAATCATCCTAAAATACAATAATAAGATGGGCTGTAATAACAAATCTATACAAGCTAGTATACATTCATACATACAACCACAATGCCAATCATCATTATATTAAAAAAATAGTTATACATACAATCTTTTTTACCATTTTCATAGTTGTTTTATCTGCAAAGGATCCATTATTTCGTAGATGTTCTTGTTTTCAAACATCCCATCTGAAAACTTATGTGTCAGAGCTCACTGATTCCTATTGAATTACCGTAATAAAAGAATCAGAATA